CATCACACTGATTAATAAAAAGCTAATGAAGCTGTGAGCTGAGGCAAGCCCTCCCTGCTGCTCCTCTTCTATTGGCCAGCTTCCTGGAGGGATACAGACTCCCACTTACTCTCCCTCTCTGGCTCTCAAGTTGTTGTTATTTGTTTTTATGTCAGTGATGCAAATCTTGCATGGTCCAGAGAGATTGTTTTGTGATTTGGTGGTATAGGCATCATTCGAACACAGAGCAGCCGCCTCACCTTGCAATCCTACCCTGTTATTTTTTCACCGCTGCTGTGGGGTTCTTCTGATCTCATATTTCAGATATGCCTGCCACTTAGTCTAAAAGCCCATCGAACCTCATGAAGGCTGCACTGTTACTTCTCCTCGCCCGCTGTATTATATTAAGTGCATCCATTCCAGCTGTCCCCCTTGGTGCAGGTGAAATAGCGTTCCCAGCATCCAGCTGTGGCCGCTGAGTGAAACCACAGCAGAGCAGGTGCCTTTCTGGTTAATGAAACTGCTCTTCCCATGACCTCCAGTGACCTGCACTGTAACCATTGACTTTGCATACATGTGCTGCTGCCCTCTGCCTCACTTTGCCACACTATACAGTATACAGCCTGCTTTAATTGTCCCCGCTGACCCCTGCTGTCTCTTTAGCTCGGTAGCCACCGCACTTGACTGCCTTGACATTTCTAAGTACCTGCATAATATTTAGCATCACCATTGAGCGTCCCTTCACACAGTGTGAGGTAGAGGTCACATCAAAGCCTCGTCTATCTGAAAGCGCTGTGGCTCTTTAACTCCAACACACTGTACATATTATAGGACTCGAGACGGAGGATGCATTTGAAGCAGGTCCCGGAATCATTATTTAATGATCAGTAAGGTTGGTTTGAATTTTTAACGGCGACGAGACCCAGTTTGCGAGTGGTAGTTTTCTAATCAGATGACTGTTGTTTCCGCCTCTGGCTTCTGCTGCCTACTCTGCAGGCAGATAGCATGCGGCCGCTCACACAACACAGCAGCCAACCACAGACCTTGTTCTTGTGAGTGGCATTCTCTTACATTTAGATTCATGCATTAATGTTATACTCTGCCTCCCGCTCCTCCCTCTCTCTCTCTTTTTTTTTTGTTTTCCTCCTTTCCTCCCCTTGTCCCCTGGTTGCGGTGGACACAGAATGATGATTAGAATGGTTTCAGTGCCGGCTTTGGTGGAGGGGGGGTGTCAGTTCCTGTTGTGTGTTGTCACTGCAGTGCTGCGCCTGTTCGCGACTTAGACACACATGCCGCACATTTGCATCGTCGGACATCCTAACGGGCTGCAGCTTTGTATTCATGTCCACCCTCACTCAGGTTGAGACGAGTCCTTGTGAATACATTTACATTAGGAGAGGAGCAGAAACATTTTTGCCGGTCCCTGCTGAAATCGCCAAGTTCTACCGGTATGCCCTTGAATTATTATTTCTTCCTCGAGTATAAGCTTCTGGATGAGCCCTGCAGATAAACACGGATAGGAGGCTGCAGTTTGAAGAATCTGCGTGTTTGACAAATCCAAGAAAAAAAACATTGAAACAACCCTTTTTGTTCGTCTTAGCCTGTTAAGTTATGTACTGACATATAGAAAAGAATTAATAAAGAACAGATCTGAAGAGAGATCGGATACTTTACTCAACAGCTTAATCTCAACATTGACTTAATGACTCATTAAACTTTTAATAGCTGTTGTTTTGAAGGCAAACTGATGAGAGGTAGCTTCATGTTCTTCACAGTCGTCCTGCTCAAATTCCTGCGCTGTGCAGAGGAAATGGAGAGGAAAGCTGCAGTGGAAGGACTCTGGATTATTGATTGACAGTATGGGGCTGACCAGCTATAAGGGCTACAGCATTTTCTTTGCTGCAAGCACTCATCAACCTCAGCATAAATGGCAACACAGCCATATCAGAGACATTAAATCAGACCGGATTCTGTTCTGTCTTAATATCTTTCTGTCCAAATATTTCTCTAAGTGCATCCTCGCCTCTATTTTTCTGTCTTGTCTCTCTCTCTCCCCCTCGCTCCCACTGGCCAGACAGCTGCAGAGCTCTTACAGAAAAGAAGCATAGTGGGATATGGCACTGCATCATAATGCCTCAAACATTCACTTATCACTCACTCATGCACCTCTCCTCGACTCCCCTGTGCTCAAACTTTGACTGAGAGTCCTCCTGGGGTTATTGACCCTGCGACGACTCGTGTCAAACGTGTGCCCACTTAGTAAAAATGACCAGGTCTTGCACGCTGATTCGTGTCACCTTGAAATAACAGTGGACAGCTGTGTGAGTGTGTGAGATGCAGAGCTGCACTGGGCATCTTGTTTGTACCCTCGGTGGTGTGCTGTAAACAGAGGGAGGGGAGCCCTGTGGAGATGGCCCCTCTGTGGGTGAGAGGAGGGGGAGGGCTGGCAGCACTGGCCCCTCGAGCAACACTGACTCCAGGAGCTTCATGCATCTGTGTGAGAATGACTCTGCAGCTCTTGGTCATTTGTCCCCAGTTTACCTTATGACCTCACCTCTTGCTGGTCTGCACCAACATCAGGCTGCTGCGTTTGCCCACACATGAATGCATGGACATGCCTGAAGCGGGGATGGAAAAAGCTAGATCTGTGCTGTGAGTGTAAGCCTTGGATCAGAAGCAGGTTCTAAGACAGGTTGTCTTTTTGCACCAGAAGCCTTTTTGCTGCTGATCCCCTGGTTGTATTCTGCTCTCATGTTGTGCCAATTGTCAAAATATATAAGTCATGCAGGGTTGATTTTTCGTGTTTTTTCAACCTTGAAATGTTCAGCGTTGATTGTTTTCCATACAGAACTTTCACCCGTGTGCCCTATGTGAAATCCTAAATTAGTTTTTACAAGGTTGGTTCCTCCTAATTAAAAAATAACATATTTCCCTTACCCCTCGTCAGCCATGCAGATAGTTTGGTTCTGTTTGCCCAGGGTGTAAGATATGTGTCTCTGAGTTTTTACTTGGAAAAGCAATTCAATAGAGAGCAATTCAAAGTTCAATGAACATTACTTGTTCAAAGTAATAAAAAGAACATCAATATTTTAACTAGTTTTACTTTACCTTAAGAGAGGTAAATGAGATATCTTTTTTTCAATTCACATGAACAACCCCTTTAATTAAACTGCTTTCAGACATAAAGTGAAATCCGGATAATCTCCTGAAATCCCCCAGAAGGCCTGTATGTGAGAATTCAAAAGTGAGTTGCTATGAATAGAGTTTGTCCGGCCCTGAGTTATTACTCCGGATAAAGCCCGAATGAGCTTATTTGAGAAAACTGCAGGAGATCCACCTGAGGAGTTATCATGAGCAAGTCGTTTATATCGGCAATGGAAGCGAGACTGAAAAAACAAAAAGAAACAAATAGCCCAGGATGAAAAACAAAAGACATCTATGTATAAGACACCGACAAAGATGTGAACGTGTCTTAGCAGAGAATCTCCTGCTTCGATGTGAAAGGCAAACTACGTCCCCATCGTCAGGACATTCTGCGGAGTTATTATAGTCTGATGGAAACAACATCTCTGCAACAGTTCTGCAAAAGACACTCAGTCTACTTCGTGCTTTGAGAGCTCTGTAGATGTCTTGTTTTTATTTTTCATATTTTGCATATTAAATATCTTCATTTTTTTCTTCTTTAAAAAAACAGTATAAAATACACAGTATTGCACATAATAAATCAATTGCACTTCTTTAAGGTACAGATAAACATCTACTTCTCTCTCGATGCTACAGTTTTAACTAACGGACCTGGCATGTACAAGAGTGGAGGTGTGAATCACATGGAGCCAACAACAGAAAGCAGCATGTTGCAGTTTGTGAAGGTCAAACGAGTGATATTGAGTAGTTTGCCAGGTATTGTTGTGACAGTAGATAAAGATGCTTTTCTTTTTACGCCCTTGAAACCACTTTGGCAAATATCCTGTCTTTTGGGGCAGTGTTCTTGGCTTTGAGAGCGACTTGGGTTTTATGCTCCTCCAGGCGCTGTTAACTTAATGTTGTTTCTTTCAGATACTGGCTGCTCTCCCACTCATTAAAAATGGTTTTAGCCCTATTTGATGCTATATAATATATATTTATACATTTATATATCAATGCAAATATTATTTTGGCTGTACATAGTCTTTGAAAACTGTGGCGTTACTACACAATATTTGAATTTACAGTCGAATAGATGGGAAGCGATGAGCAGGAGCTATTAATTTTAAAAGGAGGGAAAAAATGAAAATAACTTTTTGCCATTCTCTTTAAAAATTGTTTCTTGAAAAGCTAGAAAAGATTCTGCAAAATCTGAATGTAATAAAAAGCATGCTAGTCTCACACGCCTGCCACCCTGCACTGTAGAAGCCCTGGTTGTGATCAGAAGTGGCACATTCAGTCTCTCTGGCTTGGTTTCAGCAGCTACCATAGTAGCTGATGCAAGGTACTGCAGCAATACAATCACAGCTATCATCTTGGACCCCTCGCATGTGCTATGAACCACTGCCATTTATTATACTGCTTGGTTTCAATACTGGAGCAATAAAGGATCGATAGAATTTTTTCCGTGTGGAAGGCATGAAGTTTAACTGCTCTTTCCTTTAGGGTTTCAATGCTCATATCCACCGTGTAGTTAGTAATAAATAAGTTTGATGTATGAAAGAAAGAAATCTTTTTAGTTTTTTTTTTTTTTTTTTACACAGCCCCCTTTGTCGCAGCTCAAATAAATATATTCCACTAAACCTTAAAGTGAATGTATATAGATATATATTTATATAGAAAAAAGTACATTGACGTCTAACTTTGCAAATGTTATTAAGAAAATAAGTGTTATTTATTCATTCTTTGCTTCAAAGTCAGTTCAAGGAGACATTTTAGCGATTGATAGAAAGGTGATCGAAGTACTACTGATAAACATTTTCTCTCTCCTTTACATCTCTTCTTCAGATACGACCAGAGTCTTCAATCTGTCATAGTTAGTAGTTGATCAACATGTATGAGTTCGTACTCAAAATAGTTCTATTTAATTATTCTGGAGAAAACGTATCCTGAACAGTGTTAATTGTGCTTATGCTGTTGATGTAGATCTCAGAACATTGTGGTCGGACTGGCAGCCTCTCCCGGAGGCTGGCAAGAAAAGTCCCAACTGGTGAATAGAAACGTGACAGTCACTAAACCAATGCCATAGAACAGGGCTGGACGTCTTCTAGAAAAATATATTCAAATAGACAGACGGAAATCAAATTCGTCTTCTCACCTTGCTGATCTCCAAATATGTTGCCTGGGTGTAATTTCACACCCCGCTTGAAGAAATTAGTTCGAAATAACTCAGAATCCATTTTTGGTATGCGTGTCATTTAGAATTTTCCATGGAATTCACCCGTTACGCATCCTGTCGTCTCTGAGAGGCGGTTCAGTATCCAGTGATGGAGCTCTCCTCTAATACTGCTTAATAAGTCTAGAAAAAGCCAAGGAGATTTGATAAAAATGGAGGATGATGAATAAACCAAACAAATATGGACGACCGTAGGGGTGCAATAATCCTGTGTATCGGCAGCGGGGGGGGAGACAGTTCTGTGATCTCACAGAAACCAAAGTTTCCAGCGTGCATGCTTCTTGGAGTCAGCTTTGGACTTGCGTTTCGGGGTGGAGGTGAAGGCCTCCTGGGGGTAAGGCAGGGGGGCGAAGTGGACGTCGTCCGTGGGGCAAAGCCTCTTCATCAGCGGCTGCAGCTTGTCCTCCTGCTGTTTGAAGTCCAGCTCCACACTACCTCGGAGAAGCAGAGACACACAACAAGTTCAGGCACCACCTTATTGTCATGCTGAATGAATTACATATTATTCTATTTTAATAGACATCCTCCCTATTTTAATCATTTTTCACAGTTGATGCCTGCTGTTAATTCAACCCACTGTTAGTCACATCGAAGCCCACCAAGTAATAATAACCCATACCATTTTCAGCGAGACTTTTATTTTGAAACATTTGCAGAGTGAGTAATAACAGTATTTCTCTTAGCAACAGAATGGTGTGTGTCTCGTGACTATGTGATTATTCTGATTGAATAAATGTGCTGTGAATTATGCTGAATGTATCACATCAGTCACTAATTGTTCAATTTTTTATATTTTCACTTGGCTTTTATTCTTAACTCACCCTCCTGGCTGTAAACCTGGCCATGGTTTGAATACTCATTTACCATGTCCATCCTCCCTCATGGACACTGAATGCTCTTAGGCTTCTCTCCCCGTCATGCTTTTGTAAATCTTGACATGTTTTGACTGCCACATTCTCCCTATAACCACACAAGAGTCTACGTCGTGCGTGTGCTCACTTGACCCCCACGCAAGCATCTGTCACGGCGCTGCTCATCCTGCTGAACGACCTAGATATCTTGCTCACTTCATCCTTATTTCCAAGGGAAATTTCCCGATGTGGTTTGCCTGCATCTGGCTGCCCACTTCTGCTGCTGTGTTATATTTCATAAAGCAAAATGGAAGCACATCACTGGAGATGATTGCTTGCTTTGCCTGGATTGATGTGAACCCCCTTTTTTTTTTCCAGATTGTACTTTGTATCTGATGTTTTGATCCTTGGACAGAAATATATAACGTCAGCAAAAGATAACAGGGATGCAGAGCTATCCAATTTTTGGAATTCTTTTGCACACACACTCACACAGTCTTTTCCTTCTTGGTGCACTCCACGTTTCAACCTGGGTGTGAGAGGGTTTATCTCGACCCGCCATCATTGTAATCCCACGCCCGCGCACATCTGACTACTAGGTGCTGCTGAGTGAAACTCAGATTACAGCCTCAGCTGTGGTTAAGTGTAGAGGGACTTTAATCTGCTAAAGCTTTCTCCAGCCTCTGAGTCTGGTGGGTCGGCATTGTGACAGACAGACTTGCATAATGGCATCAGGAGGATCCACCTCATGAAAAGTGCAGCTTGCCTGCTCAGACGCTGGCTTTCACCACTGTGAGAGATTATGCAGTGTCAAGGTGAGCTCAGCAGTCGACTGCATGCGCTGATTGAAATGCAAAGCATGTGTAATGATTGTTTTTTAAGAGCGAGTGTATTTTTTTGTTCTTTGAAGAAAAATACACCAGATAGAATCCCTTTGAAGGCGACTGGATGTTGATAACGATTAGTATTCCAGGTGAGCTGCAGGCACAGATCATTCTGTCTGTTGCATCTCAGCGCAGCCAAATCATAATTTGCAGGAGCTGGGACGGTCTCCGGTACGGTGTCGCAGTAAAATGTGACACTTTAATGCAGGTGATGGTTTCGGCATTAATTAGAGCTGAGCAGACGTCGACGCGGGTGTTTGACAGTGACTCAAGTAAATGTTGGGTGCTGAACCAGACACTCAGCACTTTGCATTAGTTTGACTCAGGCCAAGAACACTGCAGCTATTAGCAATAAATCAGCAGCTGTTAATTACGCTGGTATAAATCCACTTCAATTTGTGTAAAGTCAGGGTTTGTGTGTATACACACACATTTGTCTGCACGTGGAAACGTTTGTGTTTGCTTGTATTAGTGGGATTGTCTTTCTGTCTCTCTATACCTACCATGCATTTTGAAGTTCACATGAAGCGCTTTGATTGTAAATTCAGCGTGTTCTTAATGTCAGTAATGTTTGAAATTATTGAATCAATTAATTGTGTTAAAATCGTGATCTTGGTTCACACCTATATGCAATCTCATTTCTAATCGACAATTATACCTCATTCTGATTAGGGATTTTTAAAAAACAGCTCCCATTCTGTGATGTGAAAGATTTCGGGATTCTGACAAAACATTAAAAGTCGAAAGCACAAAAAATCCAGTCCATTTACCATTATCACAAACTTTGTAAGCAGCTTTTGTTAAAGTAGCAGCACTGCAGGGTAACACCAAGAAAATATGAAAAAAGGATGGCTCATGTACTGATCATATATCTGACACTGAAGCGTATCAGACAACTCCATATTTCCAAAAATCTATCTAAGAGCTTGATATGTAAATATGAATGTGATGCTGAAAAGCGATCTACAACTAAAGAGGCCACAATGAATCATTTGCAGTTCTGTTTGTTTTGGCCCCAAGTCACAGCTAAACTCTGCAGCCCTTGAACAGAATGTCCCAGCAAGTCTGCTGCAAATTACCTTTTGATGCACAGACTAAGAGGTTTGTCCTGAGGTTTCCTGTTCGTCAAAATATGAAATATCTGCAACTAGACTGCTGCAGCTCGCTTTACCCAAACTATTTAAAGTCCTTCTTGCATTAAATTGGTCCAAATATGTACCAGCCAGGATTTTGGCATGTGCCAGGAAACCAGCCCATATTCCTCTTCTTATTTTTATTTTTATTTCAGCCTGCACTCGTCTTCGATCGAATTTAAAATTGATTATAAGATATCACTTATCCAACATGAATTAGACTACAGCTGGAGCCTCCCTCCCCCTCCCAACACCTTCAGAATGTGGCTTTAAATCTGCCCATAATCTTCTCACATCTCACGGGGATAAGAAATGGTCTTATTTTGAAGGGTGATTGAGCGGTGTTTGTCCGAGTTGGCCCTGAAGTCGACGGTCTGAATCGATTTAAGATTCTCTCCAGAAACTATAAACACGCTTTTACCTGAACTTGTACAATTCATCCCTGCTGTGTTATTCAGACTGTTTTGGATTTTATTATCATAACACTGTCTTAAAATTACTGAATACTTTTCTTGATGCCCTCTTACTGTAGATTTCTCATGTTTGTGTAGAGGCAGCACTGTGCTGCCAATTATTTTCTCAATGGCCAGGCCCAGGGAAACTGAGGTGCGTGTGTGTTCACAGCCCTCGTGCTGCATAATAAGATTAGAAAGTCTTCTGCAGTTAAACACAAACTTGCATATTAAACAGAATTCATGGGCTGCTAAATTAACAGGCTCTTGCTGCTCGAATAACTTAAGTAAGGTGGCACCAAAGAATCCTGTGATCAATGAGTGTGTGTTGGAATGAATGTGCAGTGCTTTCACACATGTATGCCAGCAGTGTGCTGAGTGTGTCCTTGTGTAGTTTTCATCTTTTAAAACAACCTTCTATTAATACTGTGTACAGAAGCAGATCTCGAGCACTTTTTGGTGACTTTGGGGGGAAGCACTAGTTAAATGTTGTGTCTTTTTGTGTGGGATATAACACACACACACACACACACACACACACACACACACACACACACACACACACACACACACACACACAAAGTAGCAGTGATGGTATTCTCCCTCTGACTGTTGTGGCTGTGTTTCCATTGCCATTGGCCTGTTTGGACAAACAGCCATTTAACCACATTAAAGAGCCTATTATTTTTATTGGTACAATCATTGGATGTATTTTCAATTTATTCTACGACCTTTGATTTGTTCAGTTCTTACCTGCAGGTTTGTGTCTGTGCTTCTCCATTAACTGTAGGTTTACTTTACACTTATTATTTGACCTGCCCGTCGTACATAATTGTGTTTACATGTGCTGTGTTAAATCTATAGTTAGAACTATATCATGACTTTTGTTAGATGAGCTGACTAACAAATATATTCATACAAAAAAGAAAGACCACAACAACCAGGCAGTTGTTGATTTCAGTGTGGGTTACTCTGCAAAGCTTATTCTTCACATTACTAAAGATGGTGAAAGAAGCAAGAATGTTCCCGGTTTGAATCCCGGCTGTGTACCCCGCCTCTCGCCTGACGTGAGCTGGGATTGACTCTAGTTCCCCCCTGAGACCAGATAAGATGGATTCATTCTAAAAACATAGCATTCAGTCTGGCAGGAGAATCATACTAAAACGTCAACTGGCCTGTAGCTTGGGAACAGCAAACTTAAATGTCACTGAAAAAAAAATCAGCATAACTTAATTTGAGAAAAAAAAGGGGAGAGTGAAAAGATAATCATCTCATCTTTGAAACATACTCTAAAGACGTTTGTAATGAAAGATTTATTAGTCTCTTCCCGGCCCAGTTATCAGCATCTCCTCATGAAACTGTCACAGGCCCTCGCTGCAGCGCGCCACATATTTTTAGGCTAAAAGTGAAGCGGTGTTGGCATTTCCCCCGTCCCCTGGCTGCCACTCCCCTGAAGGGGTCGTTGGATCGGAACAAATTGAAGAAGGCACTTTGGGCCTTGTGTTTAACCTCACTCCTCCACTTGCTCTTACTCTCACTCACTTCCACTTGTGTCCTGTCATGTTCTTGCTCCTAAAAATGAAGTATATGTACAATGGGGGGGGAAAAGACACTTGTACATTCTCATTGCCATGTCTAATCTTTTACCTCAGCGTGTTCCTGGCACCTCTCATCTGCCCTTTACCCCAGTTTAACCATCTGTGAGTTTTAATAGCTTGTATTCTCCTCCTTCCTCTCTCTGTCTCCCCGTGTTTCACATTCTGATCCTGCCTTCCTTTTTTGTTCCCTTATCTTCCTCGAGTGTGAATGTGCTCTTCACGACTGCCCTAGCCGTCCCCTCGCACTGTCTGTCCCACGGAGAATCACTCTTGTAACTATGGTAACCGGCTTGCCACCATGTTGGAAAACATCATTATGCTTTCACAAAAAAAAAGGAGATATCTTCGCTCAGCAGATCAGTGCAGGCAGGCCAGCCTCGCTGCTCACTAATTTCCATATGTTATAATGTAATGGGCTCTTATGCCTTTAGCAACGCTTAATTGATTTTCATAGCCTCGCACAGTAGATTGGAGACTTCTCTTTTTAAACACCCATTCCTTTGTTGATTTTATTTATTTATCCATTTGCAGTGTAGAGTTATTCAAGGAGCGTTTTACCGGACAGATAGTTTAATGATCAGCTACTGTTGCTTGTTTTTGAATTAATCTTAAGACATGCAAGCTAATGACACAATTGAACGTTTGAGAAATAACCGCAGTCCGTTGTGAACAATAGTACCCAGTGGTGGGGACCTCCACCATCGACTCCCTTAATCACAGCGGCTTAAATCTATCTCCCTGTTTGATCAGAACATTAGCCCATATAAATTCAGTGTGAGGAAAATGAGATTACAGGGTTTCTGCGTCAAGACACATCACGGCTTAATGCCTGTGGTCTTGAAATAAGTGGAATGCATTTCAATTCCACAGCTTCTCTGTCTGTCTCGTTTTTTTTCCACCTCTCTCCAACCTCTGTATTGCTTTTTTCTCTGACTTTTTTTCCTTTTTTTTTTTTCATTTCATTCCTCCCCTCTGTCTGCCTTACTCACTAACCCATATTACATCACCTGGCAAGATGGAGTGAACTGCAATAATCTTTTCATCCCTTTCTCTCCTATTCTGTTTCAATGTCATGCACGTAATGTTGGGCATTGAATCCCCAGGTTCATTTGAACACACTGTTAGCTATTAGGAGGAGATAACACATTCTGGACAAACTGTGAGATAGAGAGAGAGAAAGTTATTGAGGATGAAAGAAAGACGGAGCGAGTTCAAGATGGTTCATAACAAGAGAAGTGAGACCAGACAAGGACGGGAGACCACACCAGCTTGTGTATTCTGTTTGAAGTCCAGGCCCGTAGAGAGCAGCACCATATCGATCTGATGCTGTTGTTATGTTAAGGATGGACTCTGAGATGATGCCATACACTCTTGGACAAATTGAATATGCTGAGGAGAACATGCCTTGCTCCTCACTGTGCTGCGTTTGAGTGATTTATGGAGCCATGTTGTTCTCTCTTGCCAAGAGACCAGCTTTACCCCAAACACGAGAGGTTTGGCCCGAACACAAAAGCTGCTTTCAGACATGCCCTTAAGTCCACACACTTCCCTGAAATTTCCCAGAGGGGCTGCATGCGACAACGTGAATGTCCGAGTCAGCTGCGCTGGATGTTTCCTGGAACTTTTTTGTCAACCCCTGCAGTAAAATGTCAGAGGGAGCCCATGTAAGTATACAGAAGGACATTTATGGAAAATTCATTGCGAGCAACAGCGTGTCAACAACGTTTCAAACAGCACAGTCACACATATGCAATTGTTATGCGGATAGTGCCGGTCATACTTCACATAAGTTGATGCAACGCCACTGGAAACAAATTGTTTATTCGCCCCCTCACTAGCACAGATTAGAAGTGAAAGGAGGCGAAGGTTCACCAATGTCTGTGAGACTGGGCAGTAACACAAGACACAACTTTAAAAGTCAACAAGACTCATGAGCTTTTGATCAAGGGCCAAAGCTGAAGTTGTGGCCTCCTGCAATGCTGAAGACATAAACATACTCAGAATAAAATCCAGATATTAGAGACAGCTATTCTTCCCATCCAAACTGTGTTCCTTCATGGCTCTTTGTGTTCCTCCACCTCCAGAGAGGTTGTTTTCATGGAGATCTGAGTAATTAGATTGCCATTTAATCCCCCTGCCTGTGTGAATACAACTGCTATATTTGATTCTGTGTCCAATCAACACAATTAACCATGCTAAGGGAGTCTCTTAAAGGAGAACTCCCTTCAATTCAGCAGATTCCAAACACCTCACTCTGCCCTTTCATCAAGTGGAAACCCTGCCAGGTGCCTGCAAGGTTTGTCAAAAAATGAGCTTTCAGTTTTGTATTGAGTTCCTGTTTTTCTGCTCTTCCTCTGCGGATGAAGCATTTCAATCGATTTCTGTGGATCTAAGAAGCCAAATGAGAAGTTTTGATGTTAATTCAGAGCCCGGTGTCATCGCATGTGCACGATCAGCACCGGCCAAGTCAAGAGACGAGTCTAAAATGACTTCTTCCTGTGATCCTTTATACATAATTCAGTCACCTTTTCTCTTTGTATTTTCAGGATAGAAGAATTTAAATAAAAAAGATTTGTTGGACAACTCATTTACACTTTGGCATCAGTGGCTCATATTAAATGACAGCATTATTTATTTATTGCCACCTGCATTTGGAGTCTTTCAAACCCTTTCAGGCATAGAGATATATAAATGAAGCACCTTTATCAACTCACCGGTGATATGGAGTACACTCTCAGCTGCTAAAAATGTCTTAACAAAGATATATTTTTAATATTTATGTGTCAGTGCAGTTTGTGCTCATAGATGCAGAGGGATCTTTTTTTGCGATTGCCTCTAAAACTTGCAGAGGCTGCCACAGCAGGGCGAGCACAGCTGCTCTTATCTCAGGGCGAGTGTTGATGGAGGACAGTTAAACCAGAGGGAGCTGAGCCTTCTCTTTTCCCCACGACCAAAATCCCACAGAGCTAGTATTAAACATGGGGATGACTAATTTATGATACAAGACGAGCTCCGGTCTCCGCAGTCTGTCGTCATCCATCCTTTAACCCTGCACCTAACCTACTCTAAATTCCCCCGAGCCATTTTTTGCCCCTCCACTGTCCGTCACTGCATGTGTAATAATTCAGCTCACCCCACTTCATCCTGTGGGCACTGAATCGTACTAAAAGCCTCCATTCTTATGTCCACCCTGCGGCTGTGCAGAGGGACCTGCCGCGATTTAAACACACTTTACGACACGATGTACCTTCCCCCGCTCAAACATCAGAGAGAAGAAAGCTCTGCCCTGTTCCTTCATTTTCAGGAGCCAATTGAAGTTTGTCCAGAGGCTTATCAGTTATTGAGAGCAGTAGATAGAAAATGATTTAAATGGCTCTTCAGAGGCGAAATGCCGACTGAGTGGAGCAGCAGTGTCCACTAAAAACTGTTTTATTGATCGCCTCTCACCCTCTTACTCTTTAAATCTTTTTTCTCCCTCCTGTTCATTTGGACTGCTTGAATCGTACTTTTTCTCAGAACCAGACGGAAAAATCATCCACATATACACATGTGGCATGTGTCCTCACGGGGTCTGCACCCTGTCAGTCCCACTGTGTATCAAAGATGAGGCTCAAGTCTGACAGAGGTGTCAGGAGCTGCGAGGCTCTGTCAGAGGTCACGGCCACCGGCTGTGAACTCAAAGCTGATCGCGCATTTCACATGAGGGCTTTAAGCAAAGGATATTATTGTGATTGATGTATGGATTTTTAACCCTGGTAATTGTTATGGATCCATGGATGGTAATTTCAGTCTGTCAGTAAATATCTAAAAAACCACTGGATGGTTGGTTCCCGGAGGACAGCTTCCATTGGATTTTCTTCTCGTGTCTGATTTGCTCGTCCAGAGTGAAATATCTCAACAACCATTGAATGACTTGCTGTTAACTTTTCTATGGATGTTCCAGGTCCCTGAAAACTACTCTCATGACTTTGGTGATATCCTGATTTTTTAAAAATCTAGAATGACCAAATGAATGCAGAATGAATATCATTTCCATCAAACAGGCTAAATTAAATCACGACCATGGTAAAGATTATCCCTGCAAATCATCAGCAGGTTTTGATTTCTAGTGGTACTTCTCCCTTTCATCTGTTTCATCCATATTCGGAAGCTTTCAAAAGACGTGTAATTCAATTCTATTAAAATAATTATCAGAAGTAATGCTAGTTACTTCTCTGTTGACTATTCACACACAGAAGACTCTGCAGCCAAATATTTATTCATGTACTGCACCTTCATGAGGAGGTAGCTATGTCGTCCGACAGACTAATGACTCTGGGCTCACATCTATACTGGTTGTCTGATGTATCGAGTATGCAAAGGCTTAGTTGGCCTGGCAACAGCACAATTGGATGATATTTCATAACGTCTGGATGCTAATTAATTTCACCTTTCGTTGCCCCCGTGCTCACTCCCTCCGCAGTATCTACTTTTCAACCATGCACCCTTTTGTCTCCAAGTCTCGCTAACCGTACCTCTGCTAGGCACCTGGCTGTGGATAAAAGGGCGTTACGTGACAATCTGAGAGACCCAATAAGATGTATGGATTCCACAGGAGCGTGTGATGTGTAAATGTCACAAGTCCCCATGTGTTCATTAACAGCCTCCACATTATTCCTTGCCTGCCCTGCCCCCTCCCCTCCTCTCAACCGTCCTTTTTCCACCTGTCCCCTCCAGGAGGAAGGACGAGGCACATTTGGATCATCGTGTCTTTGAAGAGTGATGGCCACTAACCTGTAAATAATGCATGCGCTGTTCCGGCATGTGTCACAGTTGGCCGTGTCCTGTCCGGTTCGATAGGAGAGTCTGCGGGGGAGATAAGAGTGGTGAATGAGTAATTACAGGACTTGTTAAGCTGCTCCCCCACACCTTCCTCCCTCATCCTGTTTGTCTTCCCTCGTTAGCTGGACCACAGTAAATGAGGGTGATGAGGAGTGAGGCCGCCCTTCTGAGTGGCCTGTGTCCGGCAGCCAGGGCAGAAAGAGCAGGGTGTCTACCATTAGCTCTGGTTGACTGATCTGGGGTCAGATAAGGCAAAGTGGTGCACAGTGGATGGGTTTCTAGGCTGTTCTGAATGGTATGAATTGTTTTTATCAAGGACTTTTTAGAACTCTTGTTCGTTAACAATAAAAAAAAAAAAAATAATGCATCAAAATTGCTTACTTGATGCATTGACGTTACTATTAAACCTCATTTAAATTCGCTAGATCTGGACTTTTCATCATGACTCTCGGAGAAATCGGCAAAAAACACCTTATCTCGCAATTTAAAAGAAAATACATGTACTTGCACTGAACCTAGTTTCTCACATGAGAAATCCAAACTCTTGATTAATCCTTTCTGTAGTGGACAGAGTTGTAAGCATGCCGTATGAGTTATGTTCAGAATGAATCATTTTTGTTACTATTAGCTGGGGGTGCAGTGGGCCGCATTGATTTGGAAATGAAATGGCTCCTTTAAGCAGTTACAATTTGACAGTATAGTTTAGGACAGCAGCCCTTTGGCGTTGCACAGTTGGTTATTTTATTGTGATATTGATTCAACGAAATATTCATTCAAACACATCGATAACGTTTTATTTTACATCCGATGCGTCGCTCTATTGTTCTGACATCAAGTGTCTCTGAGATTAAATATTATCATGACCCAAGTTCCCATTATAGATGCCTATTCCTCAAGGGACAGTTAAAGACCAGGTGGTGGCTCTGATGGGGACTATTTGGTTACATGCTTCAGAGGCTCAGTGGTTTTCTTATTGGATTAGAATGTGGGAATGTGCATATTGATTGACAGTAAGTGTTTCCCCCTGTAATTAATGACATTACAAAGGACACACTGTGGACTCACTTCAGCGATGACATGGACAAGATGTGGAGTCCTTTACTGCTTGGTTTTTATGGTTATAGACCTGGACTGCTGCATCAACAGAAAGCAGTCTTGTAAACCCAGTACAGATGTCAACCTTTATTTTGGGGTGGGGCAGTTACTTATACAGGTAGTAACCTTCGTCGACCACTCTCCTTCACACGTGTCCCAAGTATGTGCTTATTACCTCCGCTAAGGATTTTATGTTTTCATCTAGATTTGTTTGTGAGTCTGTTCGTTAGCAGGATTATTGCAGAAAATGTTTGTTAACATAGTACATGTATCTTATGCAATACACGTACATGCAGTATGGTGATAAAGTGGCCTTAGTTTTACCATGATCAATTTTCCAGTGAAGTATTACCTTGGTAGCACTGTCTTTGTTGGAATGAAGAGTTGGTACTTTTGGCTCTATTTGTCATTGGAGAGTCAATGGAATTTCATTTATGGTGCTCACAGAAATGAAACGACAACATTAAAAAGAAAATCCAGCTACGTGTCCTTCCGGAAACAATGTTCTGCTTGTCTTCCACTATTCGCTGTGTGAAGACAGACCACTGGAAATATTTCCACAGACACTTCTGTTTCTCTTTGACAAATGAAATCCCATTTACTTTACAATATTGCCATTGAGGCAGAAGAGGTGAGTGAGAAATATAACAACCTATTGCTGGCCTGGTTCACACCTGGTTTTAACATCTGTCCCGAGTGACGGTGTATAAGATTTTACCCATTTTAAATAAAAAGGACTCCTCCTTTACATTCACACAGCCTAAAGAATTTTGCTATATGTGTCCCAGTCCACCTCTGAATGTGGTCTGTGGGCATTCTCCCCTGTAGTCAGAGATGTCCTGTTGTGATGAGATCACCAAGGAGGGATGATGATACCAGGTCTAAATACCTTCATAAATCAGCATCTCCAAAACTAGGATGGCTCCGAAAGCCGCTCGATTTTTATCTCCAAGGTTAATTCACATTTAGTTTGATCTTTGCAGAAGCAGAGACATTTTTAATTCTCTCTCAGGGACTTTTGTCATGCTGCCCATAAGGCGCAGCACCAATAAAAATTAAGCCGCTATCATAAATTTCTCCTCCTTATCTATTCTTTTTTCTGCGCCACGTGCTCTGACAGGTATAGCAGAGTTGATAACAATATTGTTATTTAAAGTGAGAATGAAGTAATGGAGAGAATCTAAGCAGAGGATGAATGCAATAGGGGTGACAGTGCAGCGGGGAAGGTTACGGCCACCTTCGCTTTCCACCCACATGAGTCGATTGATAAACATGGGCAACTGGATCACATCCTCAGAACATCCCACCCTTATTCTCTCTATCTCTCACCCTCCTGTTGTTTTTCTCCTTCCATCTCTCATCCCTCCTCTCTCTCTATCTCTCATTCTCACATCGAGTTGATGAGAGAAAATAAGAGGGCAGAGTTAATTCAGGCAGGCTTCCCTGGGGAGAGCCAAGCCAAAAGTGCCATTAACAGTGTATTTATACACCCTCCCCCTTTTCCACTTCTGGTTGAGCTCTCCCAAAGGTCACTGAGTGGGTGGGGGTCCACAGGCATAAAACCATGTACACATCCAGTGTTAATAGACAAGACTAGCAACAAGTCCCCATAAGTGTGATTAATTGTGCCTGGTCTGCCAACACAGGCTGATGATACAGCAAAATGACTCCTAAGCTTTGGGCCGTTGGATGCAACCAATGATGTAGTTCAGAACTGCATTGCAGCTTTTACACTGTATCATATGCCCTGGACCTGTGTGTGTGTGTG